GATTGAAGCTTTGTAATGTTTATTGTAAGATAAAAGGTTGAGGCTTGGTAGTGTTGATTGTAAGATAAAAGATTGAAGCTTTGTAATGTTTATTGTAAGATAAAAGGTTGAGGCTTGGTAGTGTTGATTGTAAGATAAAAGATTGAAGCTTTGTAATGTTTATTGTAAGATAAAAGGTTGAGGTTTAATAGTGTTGAATGTAAGATAAAAGATTGAGGCTTGGTAGTGTTGATTGTGAGATAAAAGATTGAAGCTTGGTAATGTTTATTGTAAGATAAAAGGTTGAGGTTTAGTAGTGTTGAATGTAAGATAAAAGGTTGAGGCTTGGTAATGTTTATTGTAAGATAAAAGGTTGAGGTTTAGTAGTGTTGAATGTAAGATAAAAGGTTGAGGTTTAGTAGTGTTGAATGTAAGATAAAAGGTTGAGGCTTGGTAGTGTTGATTGTAAGATAAAAGATTAAAGCTTTGTAATGTTTATTGTAAGATAAAAGGTTGAGGTTTAATAGTGTTGAATGTAAGATAAAAAATTGAGGCTTGGTAGTGTTGATTGTAAGATAAAAGATTGAAGCTTGGTAATGTTTATTGTAAGATAAAAGATTGAGGCTTGGTAGTGTTGATTGTAAGATAACAGGTTGAAGCTTGGTAATGTTGATTGTAAGATAACAGGTTGAAGCTTGGTAATATTGATTGTAAGATAACAGGTTGAAGCTTGGTAATATTGATTGTAAGATAACAGGTTGAAGCTTGGTAGTGTTGATTGTAAGATAACAGGTTGAAGCTTGGTAATATTGATTGTAAGATAACAGGTTGAAGCTTGGTAATACTGATTGTAAGATAACAGGTTGAAGCTTGGTAATATTGATTGTAAGATAACAGGTTAAAACTTGGTAATACTGATTGTAAGATAACAGGTTGAAGCTTGGTAGTGTTGATTGTAAGATAAAAGGATAAGTGTTATCTATATAAGATGTAAAAGGCTTGAAGTCCAGGGGCATTAACTATATAGATGTAAAAGGCTTGAAGTCCAGGAGTGTCATCTATATAAGATGTAAAAGGCTTGAAGTCCAGGGGCATTAACTATATGGATGTAAAAGGCTTGAAGACCAGGAGTGTCAACTATATAGATATAAAAGGCTTGAAGTCCAGGGGCATTAACTATATAGATGTAAAAGGCTTGAAGTCCAGGGGCATTAACTATGTAGATGTAAAAGGCTTGAAGTCCAGGAGTGTCAAGTATATAGATGTAGAAGGCTTGAAGACCAGGAACATTAACTATATAGATTTAAAAGGCTTGAAGTCCAGGGGCATTAACTATATAGATGTAAAAGGCTTGAAGTCCAGGAGTGTCAACTATATAGATGTAAAAGGCTTGAAGTCCAGGAGTGTCATCTATATAGATGTAAAAGGCCTGAAGACCAGGAACATTAACTATATAGATGTAAAAGGGCTGAAGACCAGGAACATTAACTATATATATATGTAAAAGGCCTGAAGACCAGGAACATTAACTGTATAGATGTAAAAGGCCTGAAGACCAGGAACATTAACTGTATAGATGTAGAAGGCTTGAAGACCAGGAGTGATATCTATATATAAATATAGATATAAAAGGCTTTAAGATGAGGAGTGTTAGGATAATACTGTATTTCTTTTCGTTTTTAAGACTAAAATTGCCAATTTTCAATTCCGAATATTCGTTTATGTTGTTATTGTTCAACGTGTGGAACGATTCATCAACCAGTAAATAAATATGTCTGTTAGCAATCCCAGTTATTCTTTGGTCAAAAGACAAAGTATAAATATGAATACTTATGACTTTATTTATCAGTATTTGAATAGATTACAATTGTGACTTAATTAATTGCTCATATATTCCAATAAAAGCAGGTTTCACTTTCAGTGTGTCCCATAGCATCACCATAACATTTAACCTGTGATTGGCTTCACCATGTGACATAACTACAGGAGATTGAGTTAAATTATCAATGACATAAAAGATTTTTTTGTAAGTTTAATCATAATATCTTTAATAAGTTCTTTTGTACATGTTACATGTATATATTTAATTTGATATGAAATAATTAAATGACTATAATAAATTCAGTTTCTTGCCAAATAAGTACAGTTATCCCCATACAATGTATAGCAACAGAAGGAAATTAAATTACATTTTTCAAATGAAAACCTTTGAACGTATGTCCACAGCCTGGCAATGTTTTATTTAAATCAAAGTTAATGGTAAATTGTCTTCTGTAAATCTGTCAAAGTCCTCATCTTCTGCATTGCTGTGAAATAGTTGAAGCAGCTCTGAGTCTGCAAGTGTAGGTGTGTTGTAATCCACGTCTTCATCTCTCTCATCCTCCTCTTCTCCAGAAGTCAGCCCATCTTTCTTAAAAGCATTCATAATGGTTGACGGTTGACTCTTTTAACAACATTTCATGCTTTTACAACCCAGTGGCAAACTTCAGCATAGCTAGCCTTCTTCCTTTTCCCTGAGACTGTATATTTTTGCAGACCCTCCATCATTCATTTCTCCCAACATTCGCAGATATTCAGTTTGAACACACTGTTTATGGTGAGGTCAAGTGACTGCAGTTTCTTTGTGAGCCATCCAGGAATCATGGCTATTTCATTGTCAATTTTTAACATTTCTTGATGTCCACCCCTCATGGCTTGTTTAGTTTGGTATTTCTTTTAATTATGGCTGTTGTTTCCATCACGCTCACACAGATTTTTCATCCACTTCAAACACATGACCAGCCTCTGTTGCCATGATCTTCCACATACTGAGAAACTTTCAGTTTGAAATTGGCAAAGTAATTTTTATGTTTGTTTTCTCTTTCTACTATTGACAGCAGACATCGTATGGCAGTAATTTTTATAGCAATTTATAATAATCTGGATGAAATCGTAAAATGACATAAAATTTAACAGACAACATGGTGAATTTATTTGAATGTATGGAGACTGCCTGTTGTAGAAACACAAGCATAGAGGACAACGTTTTGAAAGTCTTCTACCTTTCATCTTTAGGTCAGTGTATGTGTATGGTGTTGTCAGTCCTTATAGTATTCTGGTGGATTGTGGATGATTTTGTAGATCCAACCAATGGCAGTCACAGGTTACTCACTTCTAATCCAGAATCTCTGTGTAGTGAAGGTTTTATTGTGTTACCTTAATGTAAAAGGATTTTTTAATTTTTCTTGTCTTCCAAAATTTGTCTGTTGCTGTCTTGTGGGGTATACACGATTGCAGGTAATATCTGCCTAAAAGTTACTTAGAGCACTTTTTTTTTCCTCTGGTGCTGGGCATACCAGGGGCAGGTTATGTACCTGAAACACAATAGAAGTGTGATATTGTGTTTCCTTCAGTCTTCCAGTAAATTATGATGATGTTGGCTTTTTACCAGTAAATAGTGTTAATATTGAATTGTTACCTGTAGTTCAATGGTGATGAGTTGTTACCAGTTGGTGATGATGTATTACCAGTATATAATGTTGATATTGAATTGTTACCAGTTGGTCTTGTAAAATAGAAACATGGAACTTGTGTAGACTCGGAAACAAAGGACCAGAGATTATGGGATTCATGGTAAGACGCAGTATAATAGTTATGGACATGTCGGACTGCAGAAGAATAGGGCACAACATGAAAGAAGTACATCATAATTATGTTCCATTATGGAGTG